AACGGGGAGTCAGCTTGGAGATTATCTCTTCCTCTCCCTCTGCCTTTCTCCCCCTAAGTAAATAAATCTAAAAAAAAAAAAAAGATGAATAAGGTCTGAGAAGCTAATGTATAATGTGACTATAGTTGATAAAACTGTGTTGTATAACTGAACTTTTCTAAGAGAATGGAAATTGTTTTACTGAAAAACACCACCAAAACCAAAAGAACACATGATTAGTGTGTTAACTCAACAGTGAGAATCCCTTCATGATGTGTATGTATATCAATCATCATGTTGTATACTCTAAATATATGACAATTTTATTTGTAAGTTATATCTCAGTAAAGCTGAAAACAGTGAAAAAGACAAAAATTGTAAATTATAAGACTACATTGACCTTAAATAATTTTTTTTTACGAATAAGACATTATAAACAATGTGAGAAAACAAGCCCACATGCTCAGAGAAGAGATTTGTAACACATCTAAACTAAGCTTGAGTAAACAGAATTCCTGAATATTAACCCAAACCCCAAAAATGAACAGCATACACACAGTATAAGAAAATGGCAAAGGAGGGGCCCCTGGGTGGCTCAGATGGTTAAGCATCTGCCTTCGGCTCAGGTCATGATCCCAGGGTCCTGGGATTGAGCCCCACCTCGGCTCAGCGGGGAGCCTGCTTCTCCCTCTCCCTCTGCTTCTCTCCCTGCTCATGCTCTCTCTCTTTCTCTCTCTCTCTATCTCTGTGTCTCAAATGAATAAATAAAATCTTTAAAAAAGAAAATGGCAAAGGATATTAACTGGCATTTTACAGAAGAGGAATGTGAGATGACTAGTGATAATGTAAAAAAAGATTCTTAACCTTAGTGGTATTCATGCTTGTAAAGTTGAAGACACGTGTCTTTCATCATAGCAATTCCACTTCTAGGTATACAGCCTGGAGAAACGTTCATAGATGAGCACTAGGCAATATTAGTAAAAATATTCATTTCAGAATTTTGTATGATAGCAAAATAATCAACATCTAAAATTGTTAAGAACTAAATTCTATAATCAGGAGAACTGATAAATTTAGTCTATGAAAGTATTCCATATAGCAATTAAATCTAACAAACTAGAACAATGTGTATCAATGTGGGTAACATGTTTTAGCAACAGTATTAGAATAAAACCACATTTCAAAGGCTACACACAGTTTGACATCAGTTACAAAGTTTAAAGACATTCAGAAAAATAGTCTTATGGTTGTATATATGTACTAATAATATAAAATATGTATGGATATAGTAAATGCCAGGATAGTGGTTGCTAACCTGTGGGGAGTGGATGAAAGAGAGAATATGGAAAGGTAAAGGGATACTTAGGGAGCGTCAATTCTATCCTGTTAAATATTTTCCATTTCATTATTTATTATTTGTTATAAATATAGATATAATTTATTTGTCTAATTAAGTTTTAATATTTCCTACTTTTAAAATAGCCTAAAATATTATTGATGATTATGAATCCTTTCACTCTTTTCCTTTTCTGTAATGCCTTTCGTCTTCTTTAAAATCTGAGAAATATGCCAATAGCAGTATGTGTAGGGACTATACAGCTTGATATTTTTTAAAATAAAGAATAGAATCATTTTTTATACTTCTCTAAAAATGGTTTAGGTAATTTTTAAGGTTCCTTCCAGCACTAAAGTATACTTCTTTGATGTTTCCAAACAACAGTGGGATAAATTCAAACTTTGAGGATAATGAAGCCAATTTCCTATAAAAGTTGTTTTCAGTCCATCCATCTGCCTGTCTCTGTTAAGCAGTCATTTGTCATCTTAAAGAGGTGTCACCAAACTTTTTATGTAAAAGGCCAAACGAGATATTTTAGGCTTGGAAGGCCACAGTGTCTGTAGTCAGAACTCCTCAACTCACTCTGCTGTTGTAATGAGAAAGCTGCCATAGATAATACTTAACCAACTGAGCCACCCAGGTGCCCCATGCCATAGATGATACTTTATAAGTGAATGGATGTGACTTTATTTACAATGAAATTTTATTTACAAAAATGGTCAGTGGGCTGGATTTGGCCTCTAGGTCAACATTTGCCAACTCATGATGTACAACACACAGAAATTACTTCAATAATATTATCCTCTTATTGCAGATGGGAAAAAGGAGCCATAGAGACCTTAAGTGGTATCATTCAGGTTAAATTAAAGGACCCTTACCTAAGGAGATATACCTACAGAAATGTTGCCATGGTCAATGTCAAAGAGATTACTGCCTGTGTTTTCTTTTAGTTTTATGGTTTCAGGTCTCACATTTAAGTCTTTAATCCATTTTGAGTTTATTTTTGTAAATGGTGTAGGAAGGTGGTCCAGTTTCATTCTTTTGCATGTAGCTGTCCAGTTTTCACAATGCCCTTTATGGAAAACACTGTCTTTTCCCCACTGTATATTCTTGCCTCCTTTGTCATAGGTTAATGGGCCATATAAGCTTGGGTTTATTTCTGGGCTCCCTGTTCTTTTCCATTGATGTCTGTTTTTGTGCCAGTACCATGCTGTTTTGATTACTACAACTTTGTAGTATATCTTGAAATCTAGGATTGTGATACCTCCAGCTTTATTTTAGATATGTCTCTTCAAGCAAGGGAAACAAAAGCAAGAATAAACTGTTGGGACTACATCAAAACAAAAAGCTTTTGCACAGTGAAGGAAACCATCAAAAAGATGAAAAGCAACCTATTAAATGGGAGAAGACATTTGTAGATGATATATCCAGTAAAGGGATAATATCCAAAATATATGAAGAACTCAAACAACAGAATAGTGAAAACCCAAACAGTCTAATAAAAAAATGAGCATAAGAACTAAATAGACTTTTTTCAAAAGACAAAATGGCCAACAGGTACCTGAAAAGTTGCTCTACATCACTCATCATCAAGGAAATGCAAATCAAAACCACAATAAGATGTTACCTCATACCTGTCAGGATGGCTAGGATAAAAAAAGACAAGAAATAACAGGTGTTGATGAGGGTGTGGAGAAAAAGAAACCCTTGTGCACTGTTGGTGGGATTATATACTGGTGTAGCCACTGTGGAAAACATCATAGAAGTTCCTCAAAAAAATTAAAAATAGAGATACCATATAATCCAGTAATTCCATTCCTGGGTATTTACCCAAAGACACAAAACACTAATTTGAGAAGATATATGCACCCTTATGTTTATTGCAGCATTATTTACAAGGCCAAGATATGGAAGCAGCCAAAGTATCCATTGATAGATGAATGGACAAAGAAGATATGGTGTGTGTGTGTGTGTGTGTGTGTGTGTGTACATACATACATGTATGTATATGGAATATATACAGTGAAATATTAACCATAAAAAGAATATGATTTTGCCATTTGTGACAACATGGATGTACCTGGAGAGTATTATGCTAAATGAAGTAAGTCAGAGAAAGACAAATACCATGTGATTTTATCTATATATAGGTCTAAAAAATAAAACTAATGAAAAGGAAAGAAATAAAAAAGTAGACTCTTAAATACAGAGAACAGACTGATGGTTGTCAGAGGAGAGGTGGGTCGTGGATGGATGAAATAGATAAATGGGATTAAGAGGTACAGACTTCCAGTTATAAAATAAATAAGGAAAGAGATGGAAAAAAAAAAAGTGACCCTAACCACATGGTAATAGAATTCTTTTGGCATATATGATGTTCATAGATAATTTTTTTCCTTCATCTACATGTAGAATATGTTGAGAAGGTCTGATCTCTTAATTTTTCAGAATTAATCTTTTTTTTTTTTTTTTAAAGATTTTATTTATTTATTTGAGAGAGAGAGAATGAGAGACAGAGAGCACATGAGAGGGAGGAGGGTCAGAGGGAGAAGCAGACTCCCTGCCGAGCAGGGAGCCCGATGCGGGACTCGATCCAGGGACTCCAGGATCATGACCTGAGCCGAAGGCAGTCACTTAACCAACTGAGCCACCCAGGCGCCCCAGAATTAATCTTTAGATTATGATTAGAAAACACATTGCTGGGTCTTTACAGGAATCATTTTATGTATTTTGCCGAAGTTTGCATCCCTTTTCCTTATTCACATGTAGAAACAAATACAAAAACTGGTGTGATTTAATTTGCTGTTAGATTTGTATATTTTACAAGCCTTTGACTTAACATCCATAAATAGCTTTATATAACATAAATTACTACTAAGCAGTTGTGTCAGTTGTATTTCTTAATTTTTTTTTTTTTTTTTAGATTTTATTTATTTGAGAGAGACAGAGACAGTGAGATAGAGAGCACAAGTGGGGAGGAGAGGGACTGTCAGTTGTATTTCAAATAAGCTTTATGAAGAAATTTCTTTGCAATTACTTTGACTCAAAGTAATTGAACATTTATTTATTTACATTTATGTTCAACGTCTAGGAAGTATATTTTTTCCTCTCCAATTTCATGGGCTAGAGAATAGTATGTTTTGTATATATCAAATAATTATGGCTCTTCTCTGTATACAGAAAGTAGGCCTACCATGGTCATACTGGAATCTTTGCAAATCTAAATTAATTTAACCTGAATGAAAACTGCCAGGAAGGGGCACCTGGGTGGCTCAGTCTGTGAAGTGTCCGACTCTTATTTCAGCTCAGGTCATAATCTCAGGGTTGTGAGATCAAGCCCCGTGTTGGGCTCCACGCTCAGCTTAAGATTCTTTTTCTCCCTCTCCCTATGCCCCACCCCCACTCACTCACGCAGGCATGCGCTCTCTCTCTCTTAAAGAAAAAAAAAAAAAGACAAAAAAACTGCCAAAAAGCTTTTTATCTCCAGAACACAGAAAGTGCATGTGTTTCAGAAAGTTATCATATGAATCAGAGCCAGGATTTGAACGCATAATGTAGTCAAGTAGGTGTTCTTAGAGTATTAATTTTAAAAGAAGTTGAGATTTTCAGACAAATTTTTATCTTACCAAGTAAATGGTTGTATTTATTTTTCTCAACTAAAAATTGAATGTGTCTGTCTTTTCAGGGACATCAAACCTGATAATATATTGATGGATATGAATGGACATATTCGATTAGCAGATTTTGGTTCTTGTCTGAAGCTGATGGAAGATGGAACGGTAAATAAAGATAAACCTCAAGTCACTTTATCCACAGATATCTCCCTTGCTACTTGTCCTCTTTATCTGTTTTGGAAACCATCTATTTATATTATCTAAGTATCCATCCATCCATCCATCCATTTGTCTTTCTATGCTCCACCTTTTCCCACAGTGGCATTAGGGATACTTATTCATAATAGGGTCTGTTTACAAAGTCCAATGCCATTTTTAACTGCTTATATTAATGATGTTAAGATTGATATAATGTGTCTTTTATGAGAACCTTGTTTGGTTTTTTTCTTTAGCTGAACTGTTTGTTATTGTACTTGAGATATTTTCACAGTTTAAGAGAGGTGAATAAAATAAGTCCCACATGGAAGAAGAAAATGTGACTCCTTCTTCACCTTTATTTTTTTTTTTTTATCTTTCTTTCCTTGTTGTCTAGTTTTTTTGAGGGACAATATTCAACAAATGAATGATCAGAACATCCTCTACGTGGATTTAGTTTCACATTCCCATTTGGTTTACGTCTACTAACCCTAGATCCCTCATATAAACTTAAAAGTTTATATGCCCCAATTTTATTCCCTGTTTTGTTTGTTTTTACTTCATCTTCCTGGCTGTATAGCAGAAGTCCAAATATATGTAATTTCACTTTGGCAGAAACTATTTTGGAGAGCAGTTTATATAATATATTCCAAAGGCCATGAAAATGTCATATTATTTTGGACCAGTAATTTGACTTCTGAAAATTTATCCTAAGGAGATAAACTTTAAAAAAATAGATTATATGACTTCTGCCTCTGGCCATGATGAAAGGAGTAATCGGTACCAAATTGTCCTCTCACTATAAAAAACTGTAAAATTGTACATAATATTTGGGACAACTGTTTTCAGGCAATGGACAACAGGCAGCATAAGACTGTTATCTTTGAGAGAAATGAATTCATGAGATGTACCTTACAGTTTCCCAGGATGGGGACTGTATGCAGGCTCTGATGCAGAAACCTAGAGTTAGAGCCGAGGGTAGTAGTCATACAGAGCTGAGGAGGAAGACATCAGAGGTGAGTTAGTTGAGTTAGTTAGTCTGCAGTGCTTAACACTGGAGAGGAGGGAGTTGTTCAGAGAGAGGGCCTAAAGATATGGGGCTATCTTCTGAAGGTTGGGCTACCAAATTATAGATGCTGCGCATCTGAAAATTGAACAGGTTACTGGAAATCAAGCAGTGCTGGAGAAGAGACAGTACATGGGGACACTGGAATTTCGTCCCTGGGGAGCTATTTAACACCTTTATAACATGTAAGACTTACTCCAAACCTGTGTAACAGTCTAAATCCAAGTCCTGATAAAATTCATTGAGTTTGAAAGTGGTCTGCCAAGTCAAGGGGATTGAGATGAATTTTAGAGTTCTACAAATCTGCCCCCAAAGATTGTAATTGTAAGCTAACCCTTGTTTAAAGAGATCAGGCAGTATTTTTTTTATCTGCTTCAATAATAATTAACATCTCAGCAGAAGATAACAGAGTCCATACTCTCTATAATATCTTTCTGTCAGTGACCAACATTCAATTAGAAATCACGAGACCAAACAAAAATGGGGATAGGGATAGGGATTGTGATACAGACTTAAAAAATAGAAGTAGTCAATAGAAACTTTGATAGCACAGATGTTGGATTTAGCAGACAGAGACGTAATGAAGCTATCATAAATGTGTTTTTTTAAATAAATATGTCTAAAGAATCAAAATACAGTCTTAAAGATGGCTCGGATAAGGAATCTCAGTGGGAAAAGAAATGAAATGGACCTTTTAAGAACTTGAAAAGTGTAGTAATAGAAATAAATAACTCACAGGAGTAGGTTAATGGCAGATTAGAGATGAGAGAAGAAAGTGCCAGTGAGTTTGAAGACAGGTCAATAATGATGATCCAGTCTGAAGAACAGAGAGGAAAAGATTGAAGCAAAATAAATTCAGGCCCAGGGTTCTACATGATTGGAATACTAGAAGGAGAAGAGAGTGAAAGAGGGGCAGAAAGAATTTGTAGGATTGATGGCTCAGACTTACCAAATATGATGAAAAACACAAATGTAAGAATCTTAGTGTACCTCAAGGTTAAAAGGAACCACACCTGTCCACAATTAAACTCCTGAAAATTAACGATAAGGGGAAAAAAATGGAAAGCAGCCATAATTAAAAACATGTTACATACTTTGGGAAAATGGTAAGAATAACCATAGGTGTCTCATCAGAAATAATATCTTTAAAGTGCTGAAAGAGAAAAAAAATCTATAAACCAAGAATTCTATGTCAAGCAAAAATATTCCTCAAAAATGAAGGTGAATAAAAGACATTTTCAGTTAAATGAAAGTGATTAATCTGGATGCTAGAAAATGTCCTTTAATCCAAAGGAAATGATACCATTTGGATACTTAGATCAATAGGATAAAGAATATCAGATAGGATAAATAAGATCTGTAGGATAAAGAAAAAAAAGACTCATCTTTTCTTCAAAATTTACATAAAAGCCATCTGATGAGTGTGAAAAGCAAAAATAATCACACTGTCATGTGGGGTTATGATATTTGTATAAGTAAAAGATCTGAGGGCAGTAACACAATTTAGAATGTGTCTATGGAACTGCACTGCTTGGGGACACCTGTGTCTCTTTGAAGCATGAAGTAGGCACCGATAATGGCAGGTATGATACAAAAAGGGAGAACTTGCTGAGTTGAGAAGACACAGATTCAAGTCAGGGAGGCTGTGGCATCAGGAAGTTTTGGGTCAGAACTCTGGAGAGCAGAGCGCTACCCTGAAGAAGAATTCCAGGGGAAGAGCTGGTGTTTCCCCGAGTCCTGTCCCTTAGACTGAAAGCTGGGGCTCTTCTCTTGGAGTCTCATAGGCAGCCTTCCAACTCCCTGGGCATTCCAGAATGCAGTGAGGACTGTTTCTGTCTGTATGAGCTACCCACGATCAAGTTTATTCCTTGAAATCCTGGTGTGTCTTCCTAGTTGTTCATTCTTTACTGATGATCTCAAAATAATTTTCCTGGACGTACTAGCATGTTTATCCTCCATTTAGAAAGTTATAATGAATAAGCCTTTTTACTTGTTTTATTTCCATTTTATTTTTATTTTTTATCAAAGTGATCTATATATATTTTAAGCAGACTTATCATAAAAACTGCATTCCTTTGTCCCATTCTTCCTGCCTCCAAATCTCTACTGCTAGAGGCAGACACCTAGAGACTTCTGGCTGCTTTTCCTGTTGCTTCCTTTACTTACATATTTCTTGTTATCATACTTGTGCTACTGTCTTTTGATTATTTCGTTCTAGATATTACCTGTTAATTTCCTACCATCTCATCCAACCCATACACTTTCTGTTTTCCTAGTGTAAGTCTTTCCTTAAATCATGTTCATTTCTTTATGACTCTATACAAATATTATTCATAGTTTGGCCATGCAGTTTATTTTAATTACAGTTCTTTTCTTGAATATCTTTTTGTTGTCCTTGGTGTAAGTGACCACTTTGCCTTGTTTTCTATATAACTCTCACCAGTTTATCCCCAAACTTTCCAACCCATAATTCCTTTCTCTCTCGGACACATTATGTAACCTAGCAGTTCCCATTTACCTTTTGGAGAGAGCTACGCTCGAGTCTTGCCTTCTCCCTTCTCATCCAGACTGTTCTGCTGGCCAGTTGTAGCACAGTCATGCCAGGACTACCCTACTCTTCATCGTGGGCTTCACTGCACGGCAGTCCAGCAGCGCATCCGCTGTTTCCTGGCTCCCATTCTGGCTTTCTCTTCATCTGGTAGTAGCTCCTGAGAAGGGTTCTAATGGAAGTAAATATTTTATAGTCTTGTACATGTGAAAAATGCTTTCACTTCTACCCTCATATTTGATTGATAATTTGTTTGAGCATAGTATTACAGATTTGAAATGATTTTTCTTAGAATTTAGCAGGCATGGCATTGTCTTCTAATTTAATGTTGAGACATCTGGTGCCACTCTAAATCTCAATTGTTCTATTATAACCTTTCCCCCCTTTTCTAGAAGCATTTAGGATATTCTATTTTTCCCAGTGTTCTGAAATGTTATGATTATATGACTTTGTATGGATCTTTATTTATCACCTGAGCAGCTCCCTTAATTTTAGCCTTTCCCAGATTTTGTGACTTTCCAAATCAAGTCTCAACTTGCTTTTTGGTTCTCACGTATAAATTGAAACTATGCCATCTTAATCACTACACCTTTATAAGAAGTCAATTTCTGGGAAGGATGTCCTGCTATAATTCTTTTTCCTCTTCTAAGATTGTCTTGGCTATTCTTGGCCATTTGTTTTTCCATATGATTGTTAGGATTATATTATTGGTTTATATACATACATGTACACACATACCCCTTCAGAAACAAGCTTGTAGACCTGCATTGAATTTAGAGGTTAATTTTGGGGAAATTTATGTCTGTAACATGGAATCTTCCCTTCCACAAACATGGTGTCTCTCTCCATTGTTTTAGGTTTTCTTTTGTGTCTGCTATTGAAGTTTTATAATCATGTTCACTGTAAATCCATTACCTTTATTTGTTAAATTTGTTCCTAGGCACACTGTGGATTTTTGGGGCGTGGAGCATTATAGATGATAACTTTTATAATTTTTCCGTTTAACAGCTTGTTGCTTTTGTTTAGGACCACAGTTGATTTTTGTATACTCATCTTGAAACTAACAAGCTCACTAAATTTTTTATTAGTTCAAAATAATTTGTAGATTCTTCTAGGTTTTGTATGTAGACAATCATGCAATCCACCAATAATGATCAACTTTAGGTTTTGTCTTTAACAAATGCTTACGTATGCTGTTTCCCCCCGTATGCAATCAGTGACCTTCAGTGCAATATTAGAGACGTATGGTAATAGGGAGCTTCTTTGCTTTGTTCTTGATGCTAATGGTGTTTTTTTCTGTAGTTTCAAATTAAGTATGATGTTTGCTGTAAGTTTTTGGTAGATATTCCTTACAAG